ATGTAGATTAAATTAAAGAAAGTTTTTTATGTTGCAAAAAATTGCACTTTTTGAGTTTTTTTTTTTATAAAAATGTACTAATTAGTACTTTTGTATTATTTTTATCATTGCCATATTATGTTATTATATGACGTAATTAGACTTATATATATATATGTATATATTGATTACATATACACATACAGTACTACAGTCTATCCACAGAAGCCAGACATTTTAATAAAATGTTGTGAAGTCAGTTATATACATGGTATCAATTTCTTATTATTTTATTTAAATTAAATTAATTTTCTTTTATTCTTTTAATATTTAAATATAACAGTTAATGTCAACTAATAAAATAGGTAATAATATTATAAAAAAAAAAGTATTGAAAATAATATTTGAACTTTGAAGTATCAATAATGAAAATTTTGTTTTTGCACGATTTTGCACATTTTAACATTTTAATTGCACGTTTTTTAGGTGTTAGCTGCACAAAAATCCGGTCTTTATTTTTGTTGTATTAAAATAATCTCAGGAAATAAATTTGTTAAGAAATATAAATTTTTTTTATAGTCAATGGTAAAACTTCGGCTTGTTATGTGGATAGTTCAGGTAAAGGAATTTCTATTGGCTCAATTCAAATTGGTCCTTACTATGACGGAAATTCAATAATATTAAATTATACAGGTAAAATAATTAGTTATTAGATTTAAATATGAGCTTATGAAATAAAATGTATAGGTTGTTATTAAAAATATTACAATAAAAAATATTAAAAAATAGTGATCATTTTAACTGTATGAAAATCGCAAAATTTTATTTCTACAAATAGTGTAGTTAGGTAGATAAAATAATTATCTCATGTTAAAATATGTATGATATTTAAAATGTTGACAGATGGAGATAATTGTACCAATTTTTTGAAGTGGTCAACAGTTATAAACTTAACTTGTTCTAATGATACGAATCTCATACACAAATCAACAAATTACACTTTATGTACCCATGCATTTCATTGGAAAACACCTAAAGCATGTGAAATATCGGTAAATATAAATTTTAAAAATGCATACCTATMTATTACCTATGAATTTGAACATTTTACTATTTTATTTTAAAGTTTGAAAGAAAAGGTCAATGTATGGTTACATACCCATTTGATTCTCAAACAGTGTACAATATTAGCAATCTAAAAGATCAGACTTTTGAAAAACACATTGAAGATAGCGCATCATTTCGATTTAGTATTTGTGGTCCATTGCAAAAACCATGTAATGGTATTTTAGATTCAGCAGCATGTTGGTCAGTTGGTGGTACTGAAATGAATATAGGGATATTTACTGAAGAGATAGTGTTTGATAATGGTTCCATCTGTATGTCCATGCATGGAGAAAAATGTGTTAATAATGGACAGGGACCTAACAGTCATACTATTATTAGATTTGTGTGTGATTTTTCAGATTCAAATTGGATTGAGTACAAGAAGGTTAGTATTTTTCATAAATTAAGATGTATTTTTATTTAAATTTATGCAATTTTTCCATTATTTTGTTTTAAATACAATATATTATACAATATACCTAAAAAAAGTAAAAAAGGTTAAGTGCAGTGAGCCTCCTTTAACGGACACCTCTCAATAGCGGACACCTCCAAATAACTGACGGAATTTTGGGAACGGTGAAATGTGTACTCACTGTATTTCCCCTCTTAATAGCGGACACCTCCAAATAGYGGACGACATTTAAGCGACCGAGAGTGTCCGGTATTTAGAGGTTTCACTGTACTTGCTTATATTATTTATGTTTCTTTTTAAAACTAGGTATAGCATTTTATTGAATACATCAAGGAGTTGAAATAGTCAAATATTAATTGTATATTGTTTTAAAATTTTAAATAATACTTTTTGTTTACTAGGATTTTGAAGAATGTACTTTTGAATTCATTTTATATACAAAATATGCATGTACACCACCTTTAAAAGTTAATTGTATCGTAGATGATCAACTAGGAAATATTTTTGATCTCGGTAAATTAACTAAATTGAACAGTAGTTATGAAATTATCACTAACCAAAAGAAAACAATTATTTTAAATGTTTGTCATTCTGTTATTAATAATGATATTAATGGTGTTGACTGTCAATTCAATAGTGGAGTCTGTTTAGTCGACCATAATAATTTATTATATTCTAATAAACGGTAAGATTGATTTAATAATGTACCTAGTAAATAAAAATAACTACAGAATTTTAATTAATTGTTAAGTTTTAGATCTATTTCTAAAATAATATAACGTAGATAGTATATATTGTAGTGCAATTTTTTTTAATGTAATAATTTATGTGACTAGTATAGCCTCCCATTTACTATGGTAGAAAAAAACCGTTAAAATTTTGAATTTTGATTT